TGTCTAGGTTATAAGATTTTAGTAGAGTTAGGGTTTTTTGTGCTTTGGACTTGTTATTTAAGCCCTTAACATTTAGTGTAGCAATTTTAATTATTAATTAAAGTGTATAGGAGAAAGGGCTATACTGGACTTGATAGTCTTGTGTTAAACTCTTGGTAGTCGGCTCTGGAAAGAGCCTTCTCCATTCTTGTAAGGGTGACTTGTAAGTTATTGTAGTAAATGGTGCCTCTTCTGGGTTACTCTCAGGATTGTCAAAGGCTCCTGCCATTTCAGCATCTACTTCTTCTACTTCTATATTATCAACATCTTCTGTATTTGTTGTACTATTTGTGATTACTGCATTTCCGTTACTCATAATTTCTGGGACAGCATCTGTCACTATCATTTCCTCATCCTCAGAAGTACATTGAAAGTTGTAGCTCTTGTATCAGTTAGTTCATCAGTTTGTTCTTTTTCTTGTAAGACATTAATGTATAGGTTATTCTGGCTAAAGCTGGTTTCTGAAGTCAAAAGGTTTTGGGCTTTCTTTTTTTTCTCTAAGTTCTTTAGCTTCTTTTAGTTGTCATCTTGTTTCAATTGAGGTTTTTAGCTCCTTGCAGTCTCTTTTAAAGTAACCTTCTTTTTCACAGTAAAAGCAGATTTTGGGTGCTTCTCTCCATTCAGTTGTAATTTTATAATTGCCAATGTGAGTGCTTCTGGGTATTTTGGAAGGTAAATCAGGATCTTCTGTAGTTTTGAATGTCATTAGCCATTGATCAGAGCAAACAGTAGTGCCCTCAAACATTAAAGGTTTTATTGATGCAATTTGGCTGATATATTGAAAGGCATCAAGAACCTGGTTGCTGATTTCCTTAGTATCTCCCATAGGAATATTTTAAAGTTTAACTGTTAAGAAAGAGTGGTTAAGGTTAATTGGAATATATCCAAAAAGCATTTGCTTGAACAGTAGGATTCTATTTGCTGCATAGAGTTGAACTTTTTCATTATTTTTAAAAACTACTTCAAGGGAAGATTATTTTCCTTTAGTCATATGGATTTTTGCAGCCATTAGCTCTTCTTCTAAGCTGGCTGCTAATGCTGTAATTATGTCGTTAGTGGGAATGTTGCTTAGACTTTGGATGTCTAAAATAAGGGCATTTTGATTTTTAGAACATATTTTTTGGCTAGGAGAAGAATTTGTAAACACTGCTTTTCCCTCCTTAAGTCTTGTAAATAATTCAGACCATTGTTTTGGCCTTGTGTTACTATTTGGTGTGTTCTTGTTATCAGTCTCCTTAGAGTTTGTAATTGGCTAATGGTTGTTGTTCTTCTTGTGTTCTGTACTTGCATTAGTGTTCATGTGTTCTTGTTCATTGATTCTGAACACATGCTTTGAGTTGTTTACTTTCTGCACGTGTTCTTGTCTTGGTGTTTCTTTTTCTTTTTGCTTGTTGTTATCAGTTATATGGATGTTTTCTTCTTTGTTTCTTTCTCTAGCTTTTGAGTTGGCTTTAACTTAACTAGCCCAATCTAAACTAGACTGTTTTGTTGCTGTGTTCACTGCTGTATGTGCCTCATATTTGCTGTTTACAACTTTGCTGATTTTTGAAACTATAAAGTTCTTCTTGTTTTCTTCAGTCTTTACAAGCTTAAAGACTCAGTCTTTACCAGTATCTGCTTTTACTTTTTTGTATAAAAGCTTGCTCATAGCTGTCAACAGTAGTTTACACTTTTTGGAAGTTATATATCTTCCTTCACTTGAGTTTGTAAAGTGAACTGTTTCTTTTTGTTATGAAATTTTGTATTTTTATAAGTTTTGGAGACAAACCAGAAAGAGTTTTTTTTATATTTAATTTTAATAAAAAGAATGCCAATTCACATAAAAAAAAAAAAAACCTTAGACCTGCTACTTGGAGGATGACAATCTAACTACTGCACTAGGATTGCTATTCTTTAAAATTATAATATTTTAATAATATAATAATAATATTTTTTTTTTCTTTGGCAACAATGCCAGTTGGTTTATTAGCTTTAATTTGATATAGTACAAATTTATAGTTACATTTTTAGGATCAATTATTACTAGTACTATATACTATCTAATTTCATACTACTGACTTCACCTAGTTACCCTTATGGCATCTAAGTGCATGTTCACCAAATGCCTGCATGCAGTTACCTTGACAACCACTAGCAGTCAAAGTATACTTTAAACTACTACATAGACAAAGATATCTACTGAACTTCCAAATGCCAGAAGTACTGTCTTCTGTAATTATACCCATATATCTTATACACATGTTTTACTTGGTCTTGTTTCTTTTGCCTCCTAATCTAACTATATATAGTATTTCCTTGTTCTACACATCTTTGGTATGCCTGTTATTGATTCTTCTAAAGTGTTCTGATAATGGTCTAGGATCTGCAATGAATCTGTATTTCAAGCCAGACTGCTGCCACCATTGGTCTTTTTGACCAATTCACATTTCAAGCCAGATTTGTTGCTACTATTCTTGCAGATGTCTTAGGTCTTAACATCATACAGTAACTTGGTGCTGCATTTAACCTTCAACATAGTGCTCCCTTCTATGATAAAGACTGAAACTTGTTGCACTTACAAACAGAACAATTCTGGTTATATCTAGAAAGTTCTTTTGACCCTAGTGATACTATAATACTATATATTGCAAGCTCTTAGCTTATTCAATAATATCTGCAAGACAATTCTGGTTATGCCCAGAGAGTTACACCAACCTCAGTAATGCTATACTATCTTGCAGATCTTATTTCATATTGGTTGGTTGATCCTAGACTTGTTTGTTATAGTCTTCTATATAGGTATGACCAGAACCTGATTTGGTATCTTTACATTGCACAAGGAAGTTATATGCCAACCTTCAAGATTTTTTCTTCTATAATTAGATTATTTGGCTATGCCAGAGGTGCTTCCAATTTTGGTTAGACCAATTCTTTATTACTGTCCATCCTTGTGTTTACCATTTCCTTTACCATTCCAGTCTTGGTTACTTTTAGACTATTCTCCTAATTAAATCTTCTTCTTAGGTCCCAATTAGAACTTATTTACACAATCTGTTAATTATTCTTCCAAGCAAGTACCCTACAAGTTGGATGTAGAGATGTTGGTACTGTCTATATTAGGAGGTATAAGAATGTTAATGCTGTCCTAGCCTGAAGAACTTATATATACAATTTTTTTATAACCATAACCTTCTGTAACAACTGCTTGTTACATATAGTGCTTGCACTTCATGATTGGGTTTGCTTTTAGACATTTCTATTTTCATCATTATACTGCACTTGGACTTAACTACATGGCTTTACATTCAATTACAGGCTCTTTATTAGGTTATAGAAGCTAAAATCTTTCATTTTGCCTCCAGTCAAACTTAAACTATTGACATTGACTATAGAAGGTATAGGAGCTTAATTACTAAGCTATAGGACCCACACTCTAATAATAATATATTACAAATAAAAAATAATATTTAATGTCATTTAAACTTATTATATAATAAAAATATATTTAAAATAGTTTTAAAACATATTTATAATATAATTTTTATTCAAAAAAAAGTAATACATCACTCTTTCTGCTAATCTCAATTTTACAAAAGTAGAAAAAGAATACATCAAAGTTTACTCAAAAACTACTCTAAGAAACAGATGTTTTGCTACTAAAGAAAAAGAAAGAAAACTTAGAAACAGTATAAGTCTACTAGAACAACTTCTTAAAAAAGCTGCTCATCAAAAATATCAAAAGGCTTTTCAAAAATTTTTAGAAAATTTTTGGAAAATTAAAAACTAAAAAAACTCTTTCCAGTTCACTACTGGAAAATAGCAAAAATATAAAATTTTACAAAAAAACAACTTAACTCTTTTTATAAACTCTAAAGACTATAAGGCTAGAGCTCTTACTTCTCGAAAAAGAAAGCTTGGCTTGTTAAATATGGGCAAGCCACAACAAAAGAAAGCTAAGTTATCAAGTCCAAAAGAAAAACTTTTGTGCTTTTGCCAGAAACTGAAGACAATACAAAGACAACAAAATTTTTAAAGATATCTAACAGTGCTGAAGTGAACCAAGATATGAACACTCAGACAAGTTGTTCTACTGACAACACTTCTTTTAACTGGGCCAACATTACAGAAAAAGAACTACAAGGCAGTAAAATATGAGAAGATATCCTCTTAGAACAAACAAAAGCTTGCTCTACAACAACTGAAGAAACAAACAATACACGTTAAAACAACAATGATACAGCTAATAAACATGTGTCTAACCAAAACAGTCAATCAGAGGACAACAATCAGAGTACTGATCCATTGCCACAGACTATCATAACTAAGATCCTGTCTCCTGAGCCAATGCCATTAGCAAAAAATAGCTCTGCAGGCTCTAATAAGCCATTACAATGGTCCAACCTGTTCCCTAAACTTAAGGAAAAAAAAGCAGTTTTTTCCAAATCAACTACAAGACATAGAATTCATACCAAAAATGATAATGCACTTATTTTAGACATACAAAGTCTAATCAACATTAACACCAATAATATCATCGCTGCTCTTGCTGCCAAAATAGGAGAAGACCTAATTGCAGCAAAAGTTCACACAATGAGAGGAAAAAGAACTTTCTTGGAAGTTATCTTAAAGAACAAAGAAAAACTTCAACAATATGCCTCTGAAGGCATTCCATTATTTAAACAATCCCTTTTTGGGTATATACTAGTCAATATCAGATGATCTTTTCTTACAATCAAACTTCGCAGAACTCTATTAGAAGACTCAAAATCAATTGGAAACCTTATTCTAGAGGCCTTTAAGGAGGTGGAACAAGTTGTCTCTATTAAACCTCTCTTCTACGAAGAAACTACAGTCTGCTCAGACCAGTGGCTAGTTACGTTTGAAATAACAAAAGACTCTGAGCTTGCTACTAGATTTTCTAGAAGTACTCATATCGATGACCACAAGGTAACTATAGACTGAAAGAAGCCCCCAAGGTCTGTTTTTATTGTGAAAAAGAGGGGCATATCAAGAAGAACTATGAAGAACTTAAAGCCTCTATTCAGAGCAGACAAGAACTTAAAGAGGCTAGGGCACAACTCAAAAAGACACCAACATTAAAATCATCTGTCATAGACAAAGGGTTCAGCGAAGACAACCCTTACATCGATATAAACTCGAAGGAATCTTGCACAAACTTAGCTCTAAAACACATCATTACTAAAGAAGATTCATTTAAAAACTCCATTTTAGAACCCAACACATCTGATTTCAGCAGCACTAGTACATCCAGTACTATGGACCTAGAGCTATCCTCAGACAATTCTTTTGTTACCACTCATTCTGCCAACTCAGTCACAGAATTAACCAATAATATAGACATTCCCAAACCTTGAATCAAGAAACAGACAACACACTATTCACTACAGTAATTTCCAGAAAACAAAAACTAAAGAACAAGAAGAAAGATTAGGCCAATGGCTTTCATCCATACAGAGAAACAGGAGGTTCACAGCAAAGTAAACCAACAAAGAAAAACTTTTAAAAAAAGGAAAATCAAGTGTAGCACAACAATCCTTCATTTTATTTCATAATTAAAATCACTATACTTAATGTTAAAGGCCTCAATAATAGGTCTAAAGCACAAAAAACTCTTATCTTATTAAAATTGTACAACTTAGATATTATAATGTTTTAAGAAACCAATCTAAAAGATCCTAATACAAGAAACTTTCTAGCTCAACAATGGGGATTCGACTCATTCTGGTTCTCAAAAACAGCCATACTTACAGGAAACAAAAACATCAAATTAACGATGACCAAGAACTCACACAATGGCTGAGTATCTTCGGCTAAAGCAGAAATTCAACAACAATCATTTTTCTTAACCAATGTATATGCCCCTCCTTCACAGGATGAAAGATATACTTTTTTTCAAAACTGGGCCCCACCCAACATTAATGAAGATATAAACATAGTAGGAGGAGACTTCAACACAAACCTCGATCCCAACATAAACTGAATTAGTCATGCAACAGCACAATCAGATCAATCTAGAGACAAACTAAAAGAACTGATATCAGACTTCATCGACACAGCTATCTTTTCCAAGAATAAGCAATTTCTTACCTTTTACCAAAATACTCAAAACAACCAGAAGATGGCAACCAGACTAGATTATATTTTTATAGAAGCAAGTTATAGCTATACTTGCAAAAACACATACACTAGCTTTGGCAATTCAGATCACTTAATAGTAGTTACTGAACTCAACTTCAAACAATACAACAGGACCTCTTCACTATGGAGATTCAACCGAAAAAGTTGGGAGAACTCAGAACTTAGAAAAGAAATCTGGAAGGAATTACAAGACATTAAAAATATCTCTAACTGGGACTGGCACAAATGTGCTATTCAGTCTATAGCTAGAGCATTTAAACCTAAAATGTCTTCTGAAAAGAAAATACAAAAACTGAACAGAAAACTGTGTAATTTAAAAAATAAACTAGCTAAAAACCCAAACTTGGAGGAACTAGAACTTATCATTGAAAGTCTCAAACTTCAACTACAAGAAGAACTAACACATCTCTCTGACAAATGGTGTCTTAGATCTAATGCTAAGTGGATCGAAGAGGATGAGAAATCTACTAAATACTTTTTCTCTCTATACAAGGCCAAACATACTACCACTAGCTGCACAGTAATTCAAGACCCAGAGGCAACAACCAGACAATCTCAAGACCACACTCTTAATTACATCAAAAACTCCTATCAAGAAATCTACAAAACTGAAAAAATAGACACAAATGCAGCAAACCAACTTCTAGAAAACATTACTCAAATTACTACTAATCAGAACGATACTTTTACTAGCCCAATAACTGAAGATGAAATAAGTCAAGTAATAGACAAGTTACCAAACAACAAATCACCTAGGGTGGATGGACTTATATATGAGTTCTACAAGGACACAAAGGATCTAATCCTTCCAGTTTTAGTAAGGCTCTTTAATGATGTTTTTAATAAAGGACATATTCCTAACTCCTGGAGCACAAGTTTTATAACACTAATTCCCAAGAAAGAAGATGACTTAACTAAGGTTAATAACTGGCGGCCAATCTTACTTGTAAATGCTGATGCCAAAATATTCATGAAAATTCTCATGAATAGACTAAACCCAATATGTGATGCCATAATTGGTCCTGAACAACAAGCTTTCATCTCAAAAAGATATATAGCAGACTTAGCTCTTGATATTCTAACAGTCCTTAAAAATCAAACAAACCAATCTAAGCAACACTGGCTTCTCTTGCTAGACCAGCAGAAAGCCTTTGACAGAGTTAATCACCAGTTTATACAAATAGTTTTAGAAAAAATGAACTTTAACAACAAATTCTCTAAAGTAATCAGCTTCCTATTTGAAACACAAAAAGCACACATAATTGACAAAGAAATAGTCTTTACTGCTTTCAGAATAGAATGAGGAGTTAGACAGGGTGATCCTCTTTCTCCACTGCTATATCTTCTTGCTATAAACCCCCTAATAAGCTCAATTACTCAGAAAATCAGAGGCATTTCGGTAGGAGATCGCTACTTCAAAATCACAGCTTATGCTGATGACCTATCCATAGGAATAGGCTCTCCATTAGACTGGACCTCGTTGAATGAAATTATAGACAAATATGAAAGGGCCTTCAATACCTCCATCAACATGTCCAAAACAATTCTTCTTCCTATTACTGAAAATGCATACAGAGTAGAATTACATAAACAATCAGAGTACAAAACTTTAGAACAAAGCCAAAACACAATCACTATTCTAGAATACACAATTAACACCAAAGGTGAACCTTGCAAAACATTATGGGCCAGTACACTCAAGAAGATTAAGAACAAGATACAGCACTTGTCACAAAGAAACCTTTCCTTTCAAGGTAAAATCCTAGTTGCCAAAACCCTGCTCATATCAAAAATCTGGTATCTTGCCTACCTCCTTCTACCTTCCCGAAAACAATTAAATGAAATTAACACAACAATCATCAATTGGATAAAACATAAGTCCAAAATGCTGCCACAATATTTCACTTTTCAACATAGCTATGAACAAAGTGGCCTAGCAGCTCTAATTTTAAAAGACTTGCTAGATATAAGACTCATCTCTATTCTAATTAAGCTCTTTTCTAGTAACACATTCTGGGCTAAGACAAAAAGAGAAATAACATATTAAAGTCTACAAAGCAAAAGATGCATTCCAATTGCAAATATCCTATCTTAATGCTCATGCAAAACCAAAGATTGGCCAGACAGATGGAAACCATACATAGTAGCTTGGGATCGCTTCAAAGGGCAAATTACAACTAGCAGCACATGGCCCTAGTCACTAGACCAAATCGAAATACAAAACCTTAAAGGTAATCTATTTTCAGTTAAAGAGGCTCTTAAAAGCTTTTACATCAACCAAGAGCCAAAAAAGGCAAATACTGAAAATATAAACCCAAACAAAGACATCCCTACTGTTCATAACTGGATAAAGCTAAAAAATGTTCTTAACAAGAAAAAGGACATCTTTTGGCGACTGTTTTACAAAGCACTTCCTCTTGGCTATTAACTAGTGCACATCAGCCAAAATGAATTAGGCGATTGCCCTAACTGCCCCTATATTACTCAAATACTAAAACATTTTAGCTTAAAATATCTACTAAGTAAAGCAATCTGGAACACAGCATACAATACACTCAAGCTATCACAAACCTATGCTACTCTCTCTACACTTAGCGATGTCCTTATAGCCACCAATGTTTACAATGCTAAAGTGAAAAAATCAATAATTTGGCTACATATAACAGTCATATACAAGATTTGGTACTGGTATACTTAAGCCAAATGGTGAAATAATATAACTTCTTCAGAAGCCATAGTTAATATAACCAAGCACAAATTAAAATACGAACTTAATCTACTCTATAAACTTACTCACAGCAGAATTAGTTCAGAATCAAAAGCAGCTAAGAAACTGCTTACTACCTTTAGTACCTTTCTATAACTATACAAACTAATCTCTTTATATATATATGTAAAAATATAATAACCTTTTGACATAAATAAAAGCATGCTTAGATGCATTTTTTTTTTTTTAAAAAAAAAAAAAAAAAAATTAAAAACTAGCTGTAAAAAAAAAAAAACTCTTTCCAGTTCACAACCAGAAATATAGCAAATACAAAATTTTGTTACAAAAACTAGAAGTTACTTTTCAAAACTCAAGTGGAGTAAAGACTTTTACTCCAAAAAAGCACAAACTATTTGTAAACATGAACAAGTTACAAC